AAGAAGTCGATTGCACTGAATTCCTGTTTCTGATGGAGGCTATGAAGACTGTGCAATCATCGGAAGCAACTTCCCGACAGGTCGAAGTGTTTTCAAGTTCTTTCTGATATCATGCGCAGACTCTCCGTGAGGAGTAGAAATCGGTTTTTACCTCAAGTTCTCCTTCCACAAGACGAGTTTTCACCACCGAAGTCCTTACAAAGACCTAATTCTTTGCCGACTCGTCAGCCGACTCCTCTCCGTGAGAAGGTTGACGGAACTGAGATCGCATGGGAAAGCGGCAAGAATGTCACCTCAAGATCAAGAAGTAGAAGCAGCTCAAGCAAGATCGTCAAGGGAACCCGCACAGTCTCCACGACGGAGCCTTGCTAGAGCTTGTTCAAATTCTTCACCCCCCCCCTAGGGGGGGGGGGGGGAGACAGAAGGGACAGAGAGACAGAGAGACAGAAGAGACAGAGACAGTGAGACAGAGAGATAGACAGACAGAGCAAAAGGGTGGTTGAGAGAGAGCGAGTGAGGAGAGGGTAAATCTGCGTGAGGAGAGGGGAGAGGTGCGTGCAGACGCCGGGTGCACTTGCAGGGCCACGTTTTCAGAAACTTTGGGGGGTTAGACTGGAGAAAGTGTAGGGTGGTGAGGCGAAGTGGGGTGCTCAGAGACTACAAATGGGTGGGTCATACGCTGAGATATCGGGGGTGGGTGAGCAAAGTTGTCTGGTTCCCTCGAAGTTGACTTTTACAAACCCGTTATTAAGTCAATAGATTCTCAGAGCATTGGAGGGTAGGGTACTACCGTAGTACTCATGAGAGAAGTTGAGGGCCGGCAGTGACTGAGTGAGGGTTGGGCCTGACTTGGCTCAGTCACAGTTCCGATCAGGAATGTACGGTCAATGGTGTTACTGACGCGAGTGACAGTATTCCTGCATTCAAGTTCGATCATGTCTGCAGCAGGAATCGCTCAGTCAAATGAGCCTACTCATGTGGCTGATGTCTATGCTTGCTTTTTTCAAGTTTCATTACAGAACGGCAGCCAGACAAAATATTCACATGCAAGATGTACAGTAATTCACAAATAAAAAGAGTTGCATTTGTGATCAAACGCCGCCCTGTTAGCAATGATTCGAGCGTAGAACTTGGATCCGCTAGAAAACTTTGATCCTCTGCGACCCGAAGGGCCCCTCATTCGTTGCGTCCCATCTGAGAATGAATTGCTCCTCTTGATGCTCACCCGTCCGCAGCCACTCTTGCTCTCCATCTCATAGGCATAATATCCACAGCCAACATCAGAATGACGGTAATCTCTCGTGTTCGTGGGGTCTAAGAGGCTGATCGGTGAGCATCCTGGACCTTCGTACGATCTCGGGCTCTCGCAGAACGTCGGCGAAGAATTGCATCTGAGTTCACCATTGATAGATCGAGTGTGCATGTCTGTTTGCTGCAATGCAGAGCATGCATTTGTCTGCACTCTGCAGTTTGACGACAGGAATTGCTCCTTTGGCCAAGGCGTCGAGTAACACCTACGTAGATTGTGCGACCCTTCGGACGAGCAGCAGCTCTCCAATCGTGCGATGGCGCATTGGATGGCATCAGTCGTTGTCTGTTTGCAGAGATCATCCACTAATAGTTTCATCGCTTGGAGATCTTGCTCATTCACTTGTGAGCACAGGTTATCCACAAAATTGAAATGCTTCTCGAGCTCCTTTTCCTTGGTTTCAAGAACTCGGATTTCAGAACATCGAGAGAGCAAGAGGAGGAGCATGACGGAGAGAAGCACGAGACAAGAAGCAGATAGAATCATAAGGAAGAGAAGATGTGCTGGAAGGGACGAGAGGGATTGGATAAGTGACAGCATGGCACCAACAACTCTGCTTCGCGACCACTGGGTTTTTAATAGAAAGCCAATTTCTACCCACCACCGGTATCAGGAACTTTATTGAAGTAATCGAGTAGGTCGGGTGCAATGTCTACCGGTGCAAGTATCATTAAAGCTTGTTCAGAGGATGGGGTGGAGTGGTTCAACTAAACACGACCTGAGGGTACATAGATTTAATGGGGGGTGGGGGGGTGGACAGACCGAACGTAAGCATTCATACGTCACGGCTCGCCGCCGAAGAAAATCACGTTACCCTTGTATGCACTTCACCCTATTACATGAGGGGTACTTTCAAGCTTCTTTACGGGGGTACAGGGTAGCTTTTTGTTACCCTACCATGACTGTTGCAAACGAAAGGTCGTGGTAAATTATAATAATAACAAAAATTGCCGACAGAGGTCAACTTACCTGATGCCTTACGTTTGTCGCTAGACACCAAAAGACTCTTTTTCGATCATGAAAATGAAGGCTTTTTTCTTGCTACTATCTGATCGCCAGGTGTCTGTCACCCCGTGACTCCCGACTGCGGCACCGGGGCAATCGGCGGACTCGCCTCATGATGCCGCCGATGATGGCATCAGTTAAGTTTGGGGGACAGCAGTTGGCAGGATTATTAGGTTTGGTTCTCCGTCAGCGCCGGCTGTCCAGGCTTTTCTCTTCGGGGGCCTCGCCGTTTGGCCTGCCAGTGTGACACGAACGGTGTGTCAGGGTCAAGCCGCTCCTCGACTCAGTCTCCGAGCCTCCGAGCTCGGAGGGCCGGGCCCGGCTGATAGGCTTGGACGGTACCGTCCGATCTTTAAGGCCCTGAGGGCCACGCTCGGAAAGTTTTACTGAGTCAGGCTACGGCGGACTCCGGGCCGGGAGCCTCGGAGAGTCCGGGCCTCGGAGAGTCCGGGCTGATCGGATCCGAGCCGACGACTCCGAGTCGGTGACACTGCCTGGGCCCGGCCGGGCGTGACCGTGGCACGGTGACTCCTGACCGGTGACCGGCCGCGTGATGACGATCGCCGCCCGGCCCGGGCCCGGCCTGCCCGCCGGGCCGGCCCGGGGACTGATGATGATCGGATTTTTAACTTAACTTTGAGTACCCACCCCCCATCTTCAGCTACCCTATTATGCACGCACTATTCGGGCCCGACATACAAGCGAAATGGAATGTCGAGAACGTGAAGCAGGCGATGTGATCAGGAGGAGAAGCCGCGTCGGGCGTGTGTGTGTGCAGGGGAGGAGGAGGTACAAGCTCAACGCTGTCATCTAAGATACAGATCGGTGCATGAAAAGATCTTGTGCTGCGTGACATAACAAAGCCGAGCAAAGCAGTTCGTGCCGTAGGACAAAGTGTGAAAGAAAAATGCGCACGTCATGGCTGAAGGAAGCAAATGCCCTCGATGCAGTCGAAGCAGAGGCCTTCTCAGATATTAGCCGTGAGCAGTGTTCCTCGCATGCAAACAGTGAAGAATCTGTCTCAAACCATCCTCTTGTTCTTGTTCCAGGCTTCCTCGCCCCGTCATCTCCCTCAGAAGGAGGGTGGGAGAATATAGACGGAGCAGGAGCAGGAGCAGGAGCAGGAGCAGGAGCCTGGTACAAATATTGGGGAAGGGTTGCAGAGCTGAATTCCTGCTTCAACCCCGTTCTCTGCGTTTGGCCCTGCGGGTTTGCGAGCCTGCATGACCGAGCGTGCGAGGTCTTCTATCAGATCAAGGGGGGGAAGGTAGACTACGGCGAGGAGCACAGCCAGAGGTTCGGGCATGCGAGATATGGCAGGCTGTACCCCGGGCTGTTCAGCGAGTGGAGCAGCGAGCGTCCGATACACATGCTGGGTCACAGTCTGGGAGGGGCGACAGCGCGGTACCTGCAGCACCTGCTAGAGGCTCGCGCCTTCCCAGGGCATGCGACAGACGCGAGCTGGATCCTCTCGCTCTCCTCCCTCTCTGCTCCTCTCAACGGGACCCTCACAACCTACGCGCTGGGCGAGGAGGAAGATGCGCCCCCTCGGGTCAGACGGCTGAGCCCGGGAAGCATACTAGGAAGCTTAGTCCACGTGCTCGCCATGTGCGGGGGTAGGATGCTGGGGTATGAGCTGGGGCTGGAGCAGTGGAAGCTGTCGATGAAGGACGTCGGGGCAGGAGCAGCGATCAAGAAGCTGGTGCGATGTCTGTTAGTCCACAGCGACCTTGTGGAGGAGGAAGACAACGCGGCCTACGACACGACGATCCATGCCATGAAGAAACACAACGAGAGCATGGGAGGAGGGCACGGGTGCTGCTACTACTTCTCCTTCGTTGGAACTTCGGAGCAAGCAAACCAAGTGCCGAGGATGGAGGGAAGTTTGAGCGTCATGAACATGCTCACGTGGATCTTAACCTTGATGTTGTTCGTGTTCCGTCGCAGTTTTCTGCTGCTGCTGTCTTGGAGGACAAGGTGGAGGAAGTATGAAGGACTGAGGGGTCTGGAGGGGGTTGACGTAGAGGAGTGGAAGAGAGGAGGAGACGGCCTGTGCCCTGTCTACTCGCAGAGATTTCCTGTCGTTGGAATCTCAGGCCATGTTCCTTCCTGCAAGCTGAATCGAGAAGATTTGCGTAGCGTGAAGCCAGGTGAGAGAAGCTCATGAGGAGATTGTCAAGTTTGCAGAAGAATGACTTCCTGCGAAGTCTGTCGCAAAATGAACGATGTTATGAAGTTGTTCGCAATGGAGTGATACGATGGTTTGTTTGTAGAAGGATGACGTGATGTATGACAGTAGAATCACAAAAGAGAAAACGAATTGCGACGTGTTTGCTGTTGCACTCGTTGACTCAGTGTTTGTTATGGTTTTCTACGACTTGGTTCTCTAGATTTGGTGTAACCTGCAAGCTGATGCCAGCGCCAGGGGTCTGGTACTGGGAGGAGCATCCGCAAGATCACATGGGGATCTTTCCCTTCCCTGTCAGTGAAGCCTACCAGAGGAGATGGTTCCAGGTAAGGGGAAGCGATCTCCCTGCCTCCCCTGCTCCCCCTCCCCTGCCTCCTACTTCCTCTTCTTCCTCCCCCCCTCCCCTGCCTCCTTCCCCCTGTGCTTCTTACCCCTTTTGCTCCTCTTCCGTTTGTCTCCTCCCGCCCTTTGCCTGCTGTCCTCTCCCTGTTGTGAATCTGTCTCTTGATTCTTTCCTCCGCTCCCTCTCTTTCTTTTGCCTCACTCCTTGCATCGCCTTGCATGTCCTAACTTCTTCCTTCTTTCCCTTTTTCCTTTCATCTCTCTCACTTCCTTCTTCTTAAATTTCATCTCTGTCACTTCCTTCTTTCTCAACTCATCTGCCTGTATGCCTTCATGTCTCCTACCTCTCCTCCTGCCTTTCCCTTGAACGTCGCTGAAATGAATTCTCTGATCAGAGCTTTGTCGAGCTTCTCAATTGTGTGGAAAGTTTAAATCAGTCGTCAAGAGCAGAAAGTGTGCTGAAAGAAGCAGCGGCACTTGTAGGAGGAGAAGAACAGGAGGGAGAGGAGGCAAAGGAGATTGAAGACGACGAATCAGATTCAGATCTTTCGAGCTCCAACACCTTGACGAAGAGTGGTTCTGATAAGGTAAAGTTGCTGATGCCTTTTCCTCTCCTCCTCCTCTTCCATTGTCACCACTTTTTTGCCTTGCTTGGGCTCCCCTTACAGCACACACACTTGTCATGCGCCTCTATTCTCTTCTCTCCTCATCTCTTCTCCTTCCTTCTCCTCATCTGACTTGCGCTACAGGATCTCTACCAGTGCGACGTTTGTGTGGGCCCGGCACAGCAGGGCAGCATGAAGAGAAAATCTTTTGTGTGTAATGCAGATGTAAACTAGAAGAGTTATAAAGCACAAGCCCGCCCATGTCCAAACGCATGACATGCTCCTAGGGAAACATCTGTTAACGCCTCCTCCTCTACCTTCTCCTCCTCCTCCTCCTTCAACGTCCTATGATAGGCGAAAGCTTCACACCCAAGAGGACTCCATCTCCTTCCGCTTCATCTTTGCCACAGCCAGCAGCGTCGTCCTCACTGCCGCCCGGTGCCTCCACCCCTCCCCCTCCAGCACCCTTCTGACGTTCTCCCAGCTCACCCACAGCCCTGTCAGACTCTTCACCTCTAGCTGGACCTCGACAGTTCTCAGCTCCTCTACCAGCTGGCCTCTTCTCAGCTCCCTCTCCTCAGGGTACTTCCACTGAGTCCTCCTGCTGGGCATGTGCACGAAGAAAGCTCGCCGCCAGCGCCTTGAGATCCTGGTAGCCCACGCAGGAGGAGGAGGAGGAGAACTTGTGTCTTGCTCGGTCGCATCCTCCGCCCTCCCTTGGACAGGCCATTCAGCCTCTCCCTGCTCCTCATCGTCTCCGGTGGGATCAGAGGGAGCGGGAGGAGAAAGCAGGAGCGATATGTCTCCTGCCCTCCCTCCACGCGCAGTTTTCTTCCTTGTCTGTATGAATTCCTGCAGACTTTCATTGATGTCCAGCATTGCGTCGAAGTCCATGGAGTCCGATCCCTCCAGCAGCACCTCCACCACGCTCTTGTTTCTCCTTGTCCTTCCCATGCTCTCTCGGCGTGCTCCCGTCTCCTCCTCCTTGACCTCTTGCTCGCTGCTCAACAGTTTGTGTCGATCTTTCTCACATTTCCTTTGGCTGAATACAATCCTATGAATCTCTTCATCAGCCTCACTGTCGTCTCCGCTGTCTTCTTCTTGCCAATTTTCCTCCTCCTCCTGCTCCTCTTGCTCCTTATCATCCTCCTGCTTTTTCTGCTTCTCCTCCTTATCATCGTTTCCACTGTCCTCATCCCCTCCGCTTTTCCTGCCCCCGATTCTCGTCTGCTGCTCCTTCCCTTGTCTCCTTCCCCCTCCCGTCTGCTGCTGCTCCCCTCCATCCTCCCCTCTTCTCTCCTCCTTTCCAGCACCCGACCGCATTTCTCCAGTGACCCCGGACCCGCACTGCATGCTGCCCGCTGAGCCGGAGGTATTGATATCACCGGAAAGAGCTTGAAGCAAAAGGTCGCAGATCTCCAAACATCCGCACATCTCTTGCTTCAAGTCATCCGCGGAGTTGTTTAGAGACGAGGAAGCGGCAAGTTTGCCGATCATCTTGGCAAGAATTTGAACTTTCTGTTCGATGTACCTGAGAGCGTTGACAACTATCGCCTCGACATCTTCTTTTCCTTCCTCTTCGTCCAACTTGTCGCAAGAAGCTTTCGCCGTCTCGAGAATATCCATCACTTTTGTTTGCGCGCTTGCCACATCCAACATCTTGCCGGTGAAGTCCTTGAGCTCTGAGTTCTGATTCGACAAAACAACTGCAACCTTCTCCTTTAGCTCCAGCAATCTCTTCACTGATCGATCTCGCAGACAGCATGATTGGTTTTCAAACTCTCCAACAAGGTTGTTGATGTTGATGAAGATATCAGGAGTAAGAAATGCGATGCTCTCAAAGTTCTCCTTGACTTGGTCGATCACAGCGTAGAGAGATATCAGTTCAATGACGCATTTCTCGTTCTCGACACAGCAGAAGGAGATAAAGGAGAGAAACTTTCTTGTCAACTGTCGCAACAAAAAAAATGAATCGCCATCACCTTTTGTTCCAATTTCCTTCTCATCAGCTGGCGGAACAAAAAAGCCTGCAAGGTTGCTGTCAAGAATCTCATTCATAGTCTTCAAGCATGTCAACAAGTCCAAACACCCTTTGTCCCTGTAGAGCTCGCACTTAGACTTGATCGTATCAATCTGTCTTGACGTTTCGCTTTGCTCCTCTTTCACGACCTCTTCTGTCTTGTCGTCCTTTGAAACCGCGCTTTTTAGAGTAGGAGATGGATCTTCCTTTTCCTTTGTGATAGCTTCTGCTTTCCCGTCCTCCTCCTTCCCCACCTCCTCCACCTTCTCCTCCTTCTCCCTGTCTCCCTTCCAGAATTCTTGACAAGTGTACGGTAAGAAACAAATTCCTTCCTCCCTGGTCTTTTCAATTCTGACCAAATTCATTTTCTTTCTCTCCTCCTCCTCCCACCTCTCACGAAATTTCTTCAACGTCTTCATCTCCTCCTCCATAACCTCCTGCTCGCTCTTCATCCTCCTCAGCTCCTTCTCGTACTTCTCCGTCATGGACCTGTTGATCCTTCCAAAGTTCACCAGCTGCTCCTTGTACTCGTTGTTCGAGCTCTCTGCATGCTCCAACGCCTCTCGCAGCTCCTGCTCATGGCCCATCTTCAGCTCCAACTCCACGTTCCTCCTCCTCAGCTCGGAAAGCTCCTGCTGCATTACCAGCAACCTCCGCTGCAGCCCCTGGACTGCCCGCTCATCCTGCCCGTCCTCCTGCCCATCCTCTAGTCGCTGGTGCGTCTTGTCATTCCGCAGTCTTTCGATCTCTTCCTCCAGCCGCTCACAGCACATGTTCGCCGCGTTCAGCTCTTGCTCGCTTTCCACCAGCCTCTTCCCCGCCTCCACCAGCTGCCTCTGCAAGGCTTCAGCAAGCTCCTGGTACCTTGCAATGTCGTCCAGTAGCTCCTGCATCTCCGTATCTCTCTTCCTCCGCATTCCGTCGGACCTGACCTTGTCAACGTCCTTCCTGTCCTTGATGACTTCAATCTTGTGAAGATGAAACTCCTTGGGAACCGGGGACCTCCCCTCCTCCCTTCCAACATTCTCTTGCCTGCTTCCTTCAGCCCACTTCTGACTCATCATCTTCTCCCACTCGTCTCTCCTCTCTCTCTCCTCTCTCCCCTCCTCTCCTCTCTCCTCTCTCTCTCACTCTCTTCTTCGCTGTTTTCCCCCACTCTCCCTCGATGGCCCCTTTGTACTGCTAGCTCCCAGGTACAAAATAAAAGCTGAAAAAGTTAAGTTCTCGGTACAATATCTTGTTTATAAGTATGTATAGACATATAATATTTTTAATTTGTACCATACATGAAATGTACTTGCTTCTAGGGACAATACTCCCCAGTCTTGTTGCCTTCTTACACCACCCTCCTCCGTTCTTGTCTTCTTACACCTCCTCCTCCACCCTCTTCTTCTTACACCTCATCCTCCACCCTCTTCTTCTCGTACAACTTCTCTTGCTCTTGCTCTTGCTCTTGCTCTTGCTCCTGCTCCTGCTCTCATCTCAGTTCTCTTCCTTCATAAAAATAACAGCACACCGACTGGTGTTATCTTAGTAACGTACGACACTGACTGTGGGCTGAAACTCCAGCGAGCTACATGCATATCTAACCATGGGATGAACAATCTCAGCCTTCCTAGGCCCGATGTCAGCAGAATCGAAGGAAAGATGAGATGATTAGAATGTTTTTGTACAATCACGAATTTCACATGTTTAACAAACTGAATAAATAAGTTTGATCTCAAACGAAAACATCGAACTCAGGAACACGGGGAAACACACAAAAACAGGAAACAACATGGAAGACACAGTTCCTTTCCTCATGCTATCAGATTCATCTTGCCTGTTGCAACTAACACCTGCCATCCAAGATTAGACGAGTATCGCCATCGGGCTCGACCGACCAGCCACAGCACGCCAACCACAAATGAGCTGAGAGAGGAGAGGAAAATTATCCAGACCTGCACCCTGCCAGCTGAGGGTCAGCTGATGCTTGTCTGAGGGTGATCCATAACCTGTTCGACGAGCTCACTCTCGCAGTGATCTCACCCCAGAAAGCGCAGAAGATTCCCATGACTGCGATGGAGAAGTGAGAAAGACGAGCGAGAAAGGATGGAGAAACAAGAGAAATATAAAGATGTTGAAGATCAAGATTGAAATGATGATGACGATGATGGTGAGGATAATGATGATATCGATGATGATGATGATAATCTTGAAGTGACGAGGTTGTTAAGATGAAGTGAGCATAACGCCGAAAAGAATGGAAAAGAAACAAGTGATCAAGATCCCAGTCTTACTCAAGATGCTTGCGATGCAGAACGATCCCAGATAAAACCCAGACTTCAAGCTAAGAAAACTCGTCAGCGTCCTCGTCTTCACTTCGACCCCCTCCTCTCTGACCTGTCTCTCAACGCAACAGCAGGGAGAACCCCGAGGATCCCGCCGGGACCTGCAGAGTTGCTCTGAGTGTCTACGAGGAGGAGGGAGACTGAACAGGGCACCTGCCAGCCCATGCACGAGGCCGACAACCAGGGAGACGGACCTGCTCCTGATAATCAACGAGCCGCATCAGCATGCAGGGAAAGACTTTGATCCGACGGCTCTGAGCGTCCGGAGGATGGAGTGCTTTTCGGCTTTTTTGTGGCTGGAAAGTTGCTCGGGGGGATAATCGTTGTTCTGAAGATGATTGCTGTAAGTTGAAATCACAAGCTGAGATTTCATACGTCTATTGTAATCTCCGTTGCAGAGACTGAGAGCAGAGAGTTGCTCTTTGTGGCATCGCTCAGAAACGTGTCGCTCTGTGAGCAACATGGCTATGAGTCAAACAAGACAACAGCTAATGTGCAACCTTGCAGTCCTGTTCAGGATTTTCTTGAAGATTTGAGCTGCTGCTGTCCACCACCACATCATACAACTCTTTCCTGTCAACAGGTGCAAGTGAGCGTAAAGTCTTGTCATCAAACATGAGTGACAGACAGTTCTTGGTGCCCTAAGTGATCTGTTTCACTCCGATGAAGCTTCCACGCTCTCCAGCTACCGTAAGTCCCCAGCAGAATCATCAACAGCCCAACAATCTGCATCAACACCATCAAAGGTGTCCTTAACATGCCAGCAGCTTTCACAATGTCCGCGTACTGGCCCACTTGGTCAAAGTCGATCTTCTCGTCAAAGATACGAAAAACTCCGAACATGAGAAGCAGCCCCCCCGAATGACCTAACCCCCACTGCACGCCTTTCCAGAACCTGCGATATGCATGAGCATGCTACAAGTACGAGGCATGCAGGGAAGGAGGCGGAAGAGGAAGAAGGGGAGGAGCAAGAGGAGCAAGAGGAAGAAGAGGAGCAAGAGGAGGATAGGAAGAGGAAGACCAAAACAAGAAAACATCAAAGGAAACAAGCGGAGCGAGAGAATGGGGAGCAGATGCCAACAAGTCAAGTCGGCGACCAGCAGGCAGTAAGTGAACAATCATGTGGAAACCAGGAGCACAAATAAAGGAACGTACGCGCGAAAGCTTCCTCCTGCCGACAACGTGACCATGGCACTGATATGATCCGGTCCACTGAGCACGTGCACAATCCCCAGCGTGATCCCCAGCCTGACAGGCGATCAGCAAGTTTGAAACCAACACAACAGGCAAAAGGAGAAATAAGGGAGGCAGGGGGCTTGCGGGCGGGGCAGAGGTGGAGGTATGAGAAAAGGGGCCGGAGCAAGTCAACCGATGGAAGCGATGAAGATATAGATAGTGACATAGATAGCTGTTGGAAGTGATCGTGATCATGGTGGTGATGGTGACGGTGACGGTAACAAGCGGGGACGAGCAAGTGCGAAGGGAAGGGGGCTGCATGTGCTCGTAGCAGCGGGAGAAGGAGAGGCGGAATCCAGAGAGGTTCGGGCTCACCCTGTTAGCTCTGCGACAGTGAGTGAATCCATCTCACTAGTCTGCAGCGATGATCTCCTCGAGACCGAGGAAAAGACGTCCAGCTCCCCGACAACCCCGTTCCAGCATACTGAGCTCGGGTAGTCCGAGAGAAAGCTGCACAGCAGCTTCCATCTCCAGCGCAGCATGTCCGATTCGGTAGCGCCGCTTCTTTCAATCTACCTGAGAATTCTTTCAGTTAATTCGGCGGGGAATCGGCCGTTCCAATGCAGTTCCTCTCATGTCTACAAGAGAGAAATTCAATCTGCTTTGCCGTTCTCGAAGCGGCATGGCTCCTTTGCATGCGGCCATTCCACCAAGTTTCCTTTTCCCAAGTTTTCTTCCATCATGATAGATATTATAAGTCATACGATCCCTTCTGAGAGAAACGAAGTCGGTCGAACTAATCACGCTTTCGCTTTCTTCAAACCACAAGATCTCATCAAAGATCTCTCCCCCCCCTTTCGCATCACACATCCCCCCTTGCTCTTCTCCATTACCAATCACGGCATCGCTCTCTTCACCCTCATGTCGTATCTGACCCTTCTCACTCCTCCATTCTTTCCTCCCTCCCTCCTCTTTCCCTCCATCCAGTCTCATTTTTGGTTCCTTCGTACTTTGCGTGTGACCACCCCTCCTGTCCCTAAGAAACCCCCGGAGAGCATTCTGGACCCCGTATACTCCCATTGAATTACTTTATTCATCACCCGTGCATCAAGTACCCTACCCAGGTGAAATACATCACGTCCCCGCAATCATACTCAAAACTACTTTTAGCAAACCTCAACCGGGCCCCGGCCCGTCCCTCCCCCCCCCACAAAAAACATTTCATCTGCTCATCGATTCAACCTGCTTCTTTGTGTTGTGTACTTGTTCTTCATCTGCAATCATGGTATTAATCAGTCTACGTCTGCTTCTCTGCAAACTCTCTCGATCACTAGCCCATTCATCCGCTGAGGTACTGGTGCGACCCCTATGTTTGACTCACGAGATTCCCAATGCACT